CTCGGATATGATGATACCTCAATTGGATATGCTTCGATCTTGCATGAAACACTGGATTCTTGGCAAGATGAATTGCACTCTGGCTATCGCTGAAAAGCTCACAATTGTCCTGCTCTTTACCTAACTCTTTAAGAAAATTCTTGAGCCAAATCATCTCTTTTTCAACTGTTGAGATTGCCATGTACTCTTCTTCAGTGGTAGATAGAACAACACTTTTCTGAAGTCTGGACATCCAGCTAACACCAGTACCACCTAAGGTGAACACGTAGCATGTGGTAGTTTTTCGACTATCCAGATCGCCGCCTAAATTTGCATCAGCAAAACCTTGTAAGATAATATTGCTCATTTTAAAACAAAGTGTCATACCTGAGGTGCCTTTGAGATATCGCAATATCCATTTTACAGCTTCCCAATGCTCATTTTCTGGATCTGACATGTATCTACTGACAACTCCAATTGCATGGGCTATGTCAGGTCTAGTACAAAACATAACATACATCAAACTTCGTACTATTGAAGCATATGAAACTTTGGACATGTACTTCCTTTCTTCATCTGTCTTAGGTGATTAGTCCTTCGACAGATTAAGATGGCTTCCGAGTGGAGTGCTTCAGGTCTTTGCATCATGAAGAATAAACCTCCTTAGTACCTTATGTATGTACTTTTCTTGAGATGACTTTAAAGTTCCTTCATGCCTGTTTCTGCTAATCCTCATCCCAAGCATTTGATTGGCTGGTCCTAAGTCTTTTATATCAAACTCCTCCGCCAGTTGTTGCTTAACCCTGTTGATCTCTTTTATGTTAGATCCTTCAATTATCATATCATCAACGTACATTAGTAAAATAATATAGGATTCATCAAGATTTTTAATATAACAGCAATGGTCCATCTCACACCGCGTGAAACCATTGTTATGCATGAATCTACCAAATTTCTTGTAACATTGTCGGGGAGCTTGTTTCGAACCATACAAACTCTTATTCAACTTACACACAAGGTTTTCTTTACCATAAACTTGAAAACCTTCAGGTTGCTTCATGTAGATGTCTTCTTCAAGGCCACCATGCAAGAAAGTAGTTTTAACATCTAGCTGCTCCAAATGCAAATTTTCTACAGGTACGATACTTAGCACCAACCTGATAGTACTTAATTTGACTACAAGAGAGAAGATTTTGGTGTAGTCAATTCCTTCCTTCTGGTGAAATCCTTTTACTACTAACTGTGCTTTGTATCTCTTCTTAACATCATGCTCTTCTTTGACGTTGTACACCCACTTATTTTGCAATGCCTTCTTTCCTTTTGGTAACTCTGTAAGTATCCATGTTTTATTATTTTGAAGAGAACGTATCTCTTCTTTCATGGCTAACTTTCACTTATCAGGGTTTATCACCTGCATTTCTTCAACAAAATATTCTGGTTTTGCAACATCAGTCAGAAATAAATAGTGAAGAGAGAGAGAGAGAAAGAGTTAATCTATCTGGAGCATTCATAACTTTCTTAGATCTCCTTAATGTAGGTTCAGGAGTATCTGGTCCCGAATTTGGTTCAAGTCCTAACTCCATATTTGGTTGTGCATCTGATTCTATCTCTAATTCTGGTTTTGGTTTTGGTTCTGATCCAAGTTCGGCTTATGGTTCTTCATCTTCAATTTCAAAATCAGTTGTAATCCCTCTAGCAACTTCATTTTTTGAGATTTCTTCTAACTCAACTGTTTCAGATGCATGTTTGCTGGTGCTGGTTAGTTCTACTTCAAGCTTATCCATGTACATTACATTTTCATTAAATGTGACATTTCTATGTCTTAGGATCTTTCTATTATGATCATCCTAAAATTAATAACTAAAATTATCATCACCATAGCCAATAAAGAAATTTTTCTTGGCTTTAGGATCAAGTTTATCTCTATCATTAGAGTTTACATTCACATAAGCAACACAGCCAAAAAAATTCAGATGTGAGAGAGTTACCTCCTTGTTTGTCCATACTTCATCAGGAATTTCAAAATTCAGCGATATATAGGGTCCCCTATTTATGAGGTAAGCTGCCGTGTTAACAGCCTCGGCCCAAAATTACTTCGGTAATCCAGAATGTATTCTCATACTTCTGTATCGTTCGTTAAGGGTTCTGTTCATCCTATCGGCAACGCCATTTTGTTCTGGTGTTCTAAGAACTGTCTTGATCATTCTGATCCCATTCTCATAGCAGAATGCTTTAAACTCTTGACTATCATACTCTCTCCTAATGTCACACTTCAAGCGTTTTAACTTTAGACTTGTTTGATTTTCAACTTCACTTTTCCATCTTTTAAAGGTAACAAACACATCAGATTTATTTTTTAGAAAATAAACCCATACCTTTCTTGTGGAATCATCAATGAAGGTGACATAATAGCGTGAGCCTCCCAAAGAAGTTACAAAAGCTGGTCCCCACACATCTATATGCACTAGTTCCAGCTTCTATTTCTTTGGTGTCCTTCCCGCCTTTGAGAAATTAACTCTCTTTTGTTTTTCGTAAATGCAATTTTTGCACAAACCTAATTCAACATACTTTAGGTTTGGAAACTTTTCTTTGGATGCCAACAACTTCATTCCCTTCTCACTCATATGCCCGAGCCTCTGGTGCCACAATGTTGTATCACGACCATGAACAACTGTTGCTATAGTATCTCTCTGTATTACAGTTGCATACAATGTTCCCTTCTAGAAGCCTCGTGCCACAACCAAATTTTATTTGGTTATTTTTCATGATCCATTACCGAATACCATTGTGTATCCTTCACTGTCAACCTGACCCATAGATATCAGATTTTTCTTGAGGCCAGGAACATATCGGACATTTTACAATTTCCATAGCGTCCCTTGTGAAGTCTTTATATGAACTTCACATTTCCCAACAATATCCAGAGGTTCGTCGTTTGCTAGATTAACCTTCCCAAATTTTTCAACAATATAACTATGCAATAATATTTTGCATGCGGTAGAGTGAGAGGATGCTCCCGAGTCCAAAATTCAAGACTTGACTGGACTATCTGCATAATAAATTAGTGCATCACCAACTTGTTCATCAATTGTATTTGCCGAATTATCATTCATGTATTGGTCGTTCTTCTTCTTCTTTGGCTCTCTACATTTACTATTGTACTAACCCTTTTTATCGCAATTCCAACAAGTAATGTCTTTGCAGTTTTTGGATTGCCCTCTTCTCCTTGACTTTGATCTGCCACGATAATGACTTTGTCCTCTTTAGATACTTCTCCCCTGCTTTTGGTATTAAAAGTAGATCCTGAAAAATCAGTTGATTCTCTCCGGTGAATATCTTCGCCTAGAACCCAAGTTTCTAATATCATCCAATTTGAGTTTGATACTTCTCGATGAACTTCTAATTGTAGTTACTGTTGCAGACCAACTCTCTGGTAGAGATGATAGTAGAATCAACACCCTGATTTTGTCATCGAATATTATATTAATAGAACTCAACTGAGTTAATATTACATTAAACTCATTTATATGTTCCGTAACAGATTCACCTTCTGTCATTTTAAGTTGAACAATCGACACCTCAATAGACTTTATTTGAAGTTGATGGCGTCTCATACAATAACAACAACCCAGTATAATCCCACTAGTGGGGTCTGGGGAGGGTAGTGTGTACGAAGACCTTACTCCTACCATGAGGTAGAGATGTTATTTCCAATAGATCCTCGGCATCCTTCCCTCCAAGAACTCCCTACCTTGCTCTTGGGGTGACTCGAACTCACAACCTCTTGGTTGGAAGTGGAGGTTGCTTACCATCAGAGCAACCCCTCTTGGAAGTGGAGATGGCGTCTCATACATATTTGATAAAGCCTTCATCAGGCCTGCTGTGGTCTTCTCATTAATGATGTTAAATACCACATTTCGTGTTAGCGTCAAATGAATCACACCAAGAGTTTGTCGATCTAATAGATCCCGATCCGTTTTGGCCATATTCTTTGGTTTTACCCCCGTTAGAGGTAAGTGTAATTTTTTCTGGTATAAATAATACTTTATTTGCATTTTCCAGAATCCAAAATATTTGCCATTGAATAGTGCCTTACTATTTTTGAATAGTATTTACTATTTTTTGAATAGTACTTCACTATTTATGAATAGTACTTTACTATTGTGAATAATGACCAATAGTATTACACTATTCTTGTGAATAGTAAATTGCACCAATACTATATTTTTTCTACCAAAATTATATTGTCTATGCTCTGATACCAGTTGTTAGAAAGCGTGTCAGACTAATAGAAGGGAAAAATATTTAAAAGACAAGACAAGACAAGATTTACATGGTTTGATTTGTCTACTGCACGACCACACAAAGAATATCTCTTTATTAATTGAAGAGAAAGAAGAGGTTGAGGGATGATCTGTAAATGAAAAGCCAAACCCCTTTTATAGGCATTTGAATGCCAGTGGCGGATCCAGAATTTTAAGATCGTGGGTGCTCACTTTCTTTTAATATAAAGGTGCTATCAATCACATAATATAAGCGCAAATTATTCGAACGAGGCGATAAAAAATCTAATGAGAAAAATACTATTACTATTGTCATTACCAAAAATGACTTCTAGCCACGAGTTACGATAATAATGTTATCATTACAAAAAAAGGACTTCTAGTCATATCTCATAACTGTGCTCGACGACTTTTCATATGTTGAAAATGATGAATAATAGCATCATTGCTGACACTTAAAAATATCTTACGCTCTACATAGCATACTAAATAACTATTTAAAAAATCATCACTGATGTTGTTACGAAGTTCACTTTTGATGTAGTTCATGAATGAGAAAGCTCGTTCCACTGAAGCTGTAGCAACAAGAAGAATGAGAGTCAACTTGATAAACAAATAAACAAGTGGCCAAGTTTGATGCAGTTCTGACTTAACCAACACTTTAGCAAGATCACTAATTTCCTTCGTGCCAAAGAACCTCTTGTCAACACCACAAGCATAAACTATAAAACTATCAAGCTAACAACTGAGATCTCGAAGCTCGATGCTATCAAACTCATTCGAATAATATTCAACCAATCTCATTATCCTGTTCTTATAAAAATTACCAAATAAATTAACTGGATTTAAGCTAGCCATACCGAGGAGTAAGTCAGTACTCACAGCATCAAAACGACGGTTAAGCTCTTGAAAATGCAAATCTATAACAACATAAAAAATGTCGACATGCAAATGATAAGAATATGTAACATCAATAGCTCTACGCTTCGACTTCCCAGGAAAGTAGCGAGCGTCCATCTTTGGAATTATTATATCATGTTTATCACAGAAAGAAGATACATCTTCCATTAAAGATCCAAATTCACTATTCCTCATCGTTTGTAATCGTTGTTTTGAAAGAGCAAGGAGTCCCATAACATTGACAATATCTTGATCCATCCTTTGTAATGCATAGTTCAACTCATTTGTCATTGCTAAAACTTTTAACATCAAGTGCAACATAAAAGCAAAATCAAATCCCTTAATCTTACCCATAAGACTTTCAGTAACAATTCTGTCGGCATAGTTTGGACACTCACATGCAGTAAATTCAAGCACATGAATAATCAATGGAAATAGGACAATAAGGTTATCCAACATTTTATAATGAGAACCCCAACGAGTATCATCTGGTCGTTGAAGCCCACGTTCTTGATTTAATCCTCGTCCAGTATGTACTTCACCTGATTTGAGTAACTCATCTAATTTTTCAGCTTGATGTTCTCGAAGCAAATCCCTGCGCTTAAAAGATACTACAACAATATTTAAGACATTAGTAACTATACAAAAAAGGTCATCTACATCTGAATGCTTCTTTGCAAGAGCCACAAATGTTAATTGAAATTGGTGAGCGAAACAGTGAATGCAATATGCTGATGGAGACTCATTCAAAATCAAAGTCTTAACACCATTTAGCTCTCCTTGCATGTTACTAGCCCCATCATAACCTTGTCCACGTATTTGTGTTGGACTTGGTGAGTGATTAGAAAGAAAAGAGCAGATTGTCTTTTTCAATGACATAGCCGATGTATTACTAACATGAACAATACCAACAAATCTCTCTATGACTTCTCCTTCTTTGTTAACATATCTCAAAACAATTGCCATTTGCTCCTTGTGTGATATGTCTTTTGATTCATCAACTAGTGTCCCGAAAAAATCCCCATCCAGGTCTTCAATGATAGCTGTGATTGTTTCTTTAACACAAGCATCAACGATATCTTTTTGAATACTTGGAGAACACATCATTTCATTTCTTGGAGCATTTTCTAATATAATGCTTCCAATATCCCGATCAATATCTCCATACCATTGCAAAAGCTTAAGAAAGATACCTCTATTTGTAGAAGATTGACTCTCATCATGCCCACAAAATGGAAAACCTAGTCTCAAAATAAATCTTGCCACATCGATTGAACCACTCAAGCAACGTCGAGACTCATTTTTTTCTTTATCAGATTGTTTGTCAAAAGAAGTGTGAATTGATTGTGATTGATTCATTAAATCAAGCATCCTGTTGAAACACCTGTTGTGGATGCTATTTACTTCTCCAACATGAGCTTTAAATCTTTCAATAGCCTTGTTCCAAGCTTTAAAGCCATTTTTTGTAAAAGCATCTCCCGTATTTCCATGACTTTCATGTTCATTTTTGAATAAATAGCAACACAAACAATATGCAGCATCGTTTGATATACTGTATTTCAACCACTTAGAATGTTGACCCTTAAACCAACCAGGACAAAATTGACGCACAGTCTTCCCAAACTTAGTTTTAGGAAAATCATGATTCACAGGCTGGCAAGGCTTTTTTTGAATATAATGTCTTCTAACTTCATCACGTATATTAGGACTGTATTCTGTAATAGGCTTTCTATCTCCCGGATCAACGTTGAGAGTTTCTAAATCAAGATCAGAAAGAAATTTGTCCCTCTAAATTTTCGGAGCTATGGATGAAGCAATAGATGGATTAATAGAACTAGAACTTGGTTTCCCAACATTCGTTCTTGTGACAAACCTATCCATCTCGATTCACAAAGATTGATGAAATATTCCTACAGAATAAGATTCAATTTTATTCAATTTTACCTAAAATTCAATTCAAATAATTCAACTAAATCCTATTGGGGAACTCATGCCCCTCTATAACAATACAAATAATAAAGCAATAATAACATATTTAACTATATTGCAGCGGAAAATTGATCACACTTCTTTATAACTAAAAATATCAGAAATATTTATTCTTACGGAAGATAAGATGAAAACTTACAAATTTTCGAAGCAATGAGCCAATGAGGATAAATTCATCAATCACACAAACTGATACTAATAACCTACATTTATCCCAAAAATAAAAATCAGTTTTGAAATTAAGTCAGAAATAGAGATAAATTAATTTTTCACTTTTTGACAAGTACGCATAACTATTGTTTATTTGCCACAAAATAATTACAAAAAAAAAATACTGAATCTATTTTACAAAGCATAGGTAATAAGAATTGTAATTTGTAAAACCCAATATCTTCGATAAAATATTGTAATTTATACCCAAAATCTCTAGCTAACTAGCTTAAATCAAAATACCAAATCTTATTACCTTGTTCCTTGTGTTTTAATTTTGAGATGGGGAGGTCAGGAAAACTTGTTATTCATAGTTTAGCCTACGAAACCTACAAGGAGAACCGGAGAAGTCGAGAAAGATTCTGTTTTAGTATTTTCGTTTGGTGTATTTTGAAAGCCTACCAATGTTTTAACTTTTAACTAGTGAAGGATTCTTTTTCTCCCTTTCCTCTTCTGATTAGTAAATAAGAGGAAATAGAAAAAAAGTGAAAAAAGTAAAAGAAGGTAAGTAATAAATAGGCATGGAAAAGGATTAGAAAACAAGAAAGTTAACGATTTATTAAATAAGGAAAAGTGTTATTTTTTTGCCGAAAACAAAAAACGTTGCCGAAAACAAAAAACGTTACCAGCAAGATTCGATCTTGCAACGCTACGTGTCCAAGCACCCAAACGTCAGCCTCCAAATCAAAGCGCTCATTGGACTTTTTGGTTAATGGGTGCTTGCTAATATAATATATCGGTTTTCATAAAATTTTTCTATTAATATACCGAGTCCCCGTCGGAGTCAGTGGGTGCTGCAGCACCCAGAACCTTACACGTGGGTCTGCCCGTGGCCCTGCCGACGTAATCACTTACGTCATAAGAAAAGAATTCAAAGATGAATTATTTCATTTATTATTCTGTTTCATACTACTTTTTTTTCTCTCTTTGACTTTTCATTCTTTTGTTTTGTTTACTTTTCTTTCTTTCACATACAACAAGGTTTGATCCCGTCATATATATATATATATAGAGAGAGAGAGTTCAAGACAAATGCAGTGTTTGATCGCAACTCTACACCTGGCCCGTTGAACATCTTCAGTGAATTGCAAGGTGTCTATGATAGAAGTTGGGTTGTCCAAATCTGGCAAATAGTGAAGGGACCAAGGAGTGTAAAATCATTCAATCACCAGTTTCTAATTCATTAAATACTCTTTTTTGGGCATGGAGACGGCAATATTGACTGAGGAGAATTCTGCTTTCTTATTGACTAATTTTCAGTGCTGAGTAACAGGTCCATTTCCTTGAAAAACTAGTATTTGGAACGGGGACTGTGAAAACAAGTTTCATATTTTGCAAGATTGGTTTAAAATCTAAATGTAGCTTTAACAGGTGGGCTAGTTTTATTTACAAGGACAAACTTTGCCTTTGTTTTTAACATAAAAAAGACTTTGGAAAAGACTAAGGGTTAAGAGGCTAAAAGTAACACTAATAAACTATGCAAGAGTATCGTGTCTCATGTGTAACAATGCATATATTATATGCAAAGGCGGATCCTAGATTTATAGGTTGCAGGTGTCACCATTTTATGCATACAGTATATCTGCTACTAGTTACAAAGACATAATAGGAAGAATGGGTTTGTTCGGTTAATTTTTGGTTAATTTGATTAAGTCTCTTATTCACAAAGCAAATAAGTTCGATTTTAGTTCAATTTTTTAAAACTTAATTTAAATAAATTCTAAAATAAAAATTCCAAAAGAAGAATAACATTTCATGAAAGAGCATCTCTAATATAAAAAATTACTCAAATAGTAGGTTAATTACTACATATTTTTTGTTTGATTAGATTAATTTACTTGTATTGTTCTTGGATTCATTTTTTCATCTTAATTATTGAGTTATATGACAATTATTTCAAAGAATAACACTCAATATTTAACCTATGATAATCGACACAAAACATCAAGCCTTTTGATTTTCTTTTTCAAAACTCAATAGAAGATATTGTTCAAATTATACTCTAATATATAAATTACTATCGTTTCATTAATAAGAGAGAAATTATATGCTAACTAAAATCAATTCAAATTACCTATAAAAAATAATTGCTCATGCAGTAAGGTATAATGATAGAAACAAAATGAAGACTAGAAGTTAAGAATTTTCTTTTTAACATAAATAGTTGTCCATCTAACCGCTTAAACTTAAAATAGATGGATGTATAATATATGAATAATCAATGTATAATATGTGTGTAACTGTATTTAATCAATATATAATTTATGTACACCGATCTTAATAAGTAGAAAGGGAAAAACAAAGAAGATGCTCCAACATGGAATCAAACTTGCATTCATGAAGCCAATGAAAGCCATAAAAGGGGATACTAAACCAGTGACACCCGCGTCTAATTCGTGATTTCTGGGTGCCCCTATATCGATATATATGTGTGTTTTCACATATATATTATATACTACATAATAAAAAATTTAGCGACACGAGCAGGTGACATGACACCCTTACCTCATAAGGTAGATTCGCCTTGGTTGTATGTACTATCCAAAGGGAACTACATCATTGCAGAAAAAAAAAAAAAAAAAAAAANCGAGCAGGTGACATGACACCCTTACCTCATAAGGTAGATTCGCCTTGGTTGTATGTACTATCCAAAGGGAACTACATCATTGCAAAAAAAAAAAAAAAAAAAAAAGGCACAACATTTGAAGTATCTTTTAAATTATTAATATCTCATACCAGTTTTATCAATAATCATAATTGGAGTAGTTTCTTATAACGAAAATTAATTTTGGGACGAGCAAAACACTAAATCCTTTTTTCAAAGGAAAAAAGGGAAAACATAGGAGGAGAGGAAAAATGTGGTCTTTACGCAAATAGCCGTATTGATTCACTATTTACTTTCTAATCGATAAACATAAACTATACATTAATTACATATAATTATGCTATTATAATATTTATAATTATATAAATATTATATATTTGTAGGCTATTTTTAATTCAAGCAGTAGTTGTTGTTCGGCTATTTAGGTTCTTAAAAAAATTAGAATGGATGAGATTCCTAAGAAGGTAATGGGCTTTCCATAGATAGTCTCCGGTCCAATTTCATAAGCCCCTTCAATTCTAATAATTTGACTATTTCATCCACTAATAGGAGAATTTTCTACCATATACTCCTAGGGGTGTTCGTCGGTCAGTACAATACGGTATTTAGACATTTCGATTCGTTATTTTCGGTATTCGATTTCTTAAAATGCTATACCAATACCATACGAAATTAAATTATGTATGGTTCGGTTTTTCTCCTTTCGGTTTCGGTTTATTTGGTTCAGTAACTACGATTTATTCGGTTTGAATACTAACTAGTGTATAGAGTCATAGACTGTAATATTCTTAATTAAAGTACTCAAAAGTACTAAACTAAAAATATTTGTTGACAAAAGTTTTGTCCAAAACCAGCAAATATCAACCCAGAGAGAGAAAACCATACATAAAGGAATAAATTTGATCATTAGAAATATCTTGTTACTTGTTTAGAGTTAATTGATGAACTTACGGAATACAGGAAAGTAAAGTTTTAGATTTTTTATATTTATATTATAATTAATAATATGTGTATTGTGTAATATAATATATATTTCGGTACGATATCGGTATTTCAGTTTTTCATTTTAAAATACCAAATACCATACCTAATACTATTTTTTTTAAACTCAAACCAAATACCACACTGAATCCCAAAAAATCGAATACCAAAATAAAGTACGAAAAATGGCCAAAAATGCCCCTGAACTATCTAAATAGCTCAAAAATGCCCTCCATTTATTTTTGGTACCAAAAATATCCCTACCGTCTATATTTTGGACCACAAATGTCCTTAAACCGTTAGTCTTGCCATTGAAGGTGACATGGCAGTCCAACTGAGTTAGATTTGCTTACATGGCCATCCACCTAAACAATCCAGCATGGCAAAATTAATTTTTCGAAAAAAATATTTTTCCGAAATTTTTTATTAAAATACAAAATCAACACTTATTCCGAAAAAAGTAAAAAATTTCTGTAAAAATTATTTATTTCCGAAATTTTTATTAAAATATAAAATCAACACTTATTCCGAAAAAAATAAAATAAAAAATCGAAAAAATTATTTATTTCGGAAATTTTTATTAAAACACAAAATCAATACTTATTCCGAAAAAAGTAAAAAAAATCCGGAAAAATTATTTATTTCAGATTTTTTTATTAAAATACAAAATCAACACTTATTCCGAAAAAAGTAAAAAAAAATCCGAAAACTCTGAAAAGCCCACATACGGCAAAATTTTTTTGTTGCCGTTGGAAAAAGAATAAGTCCCGCTCCTATTAATATAGGGACTGGAAGTGGAATGAAAGGTATGATCCACGCATATTCATATGTCTGTTCCATAAAAAAGTTTTGAATTCTTAATTAATTGTGTTCCGATTCACCGGATCTTACCTCTTTTGAAAGGAGTCAATAAAAAGTCAAAATATGGACTAACTTAAACTAATTTAAAACTTAAATCGAATTTTCTTTTCTTACTTATTCTGAGTCTTTGCTAAATACTTCAACTATTGAAATCAAGAAGTTACAATTGGTCAAATGATATGAAAGGGATTAATTACTAGTCTCTTTTGAAATAGGCCTATTTTTCTCCAAGTTT